GACCACGTCATGGGACCACCTCGCACGATCGACCTTGCATTCCCTCGTCCCCTCGATAGCTTGCCACGCGTGCCATCGAGCGAGGCCGCGAGTCTTAAACGGACTTCGACGCCACGGGCACTCGTTTGTGATGACGGCGGGCGAGACCGACGACCTGAGCTTGTGCGCGTTTACCATGTGCGATACCAGCCCTGCGTATGTGCTGCTCGCGTACGTGCAGGGGTCCTCCTCCGCGCCTATGTTACAACGCCAGGGTTTGTCACGTAGAACGTCGAGGTCTGGGCCAGGGTCTACCGTATCATGTGCTCTGGGGCAGCCGCCAAAACCAGGGGGGTGGGGTGGGGTGGGGGTGGGGGTGGGGTGGGTGGGTGGGGTGGTGGTGGTGGTGGTGGTGGTGGTGGTGGGGTGGTGGGTGGTGGTGGTGGTGGGTGGGGTGGGTGGGTGGGGTGGGGTGGGGTGGGGTGGGGGGGGTGGGGTGGGGGGGGTGGGGTGGGGGGGGGGGTGGGGTGGGGTGGGGGGGGGGGGGGGGGGGGGGGGGGGGGGCGCCAGCCCTTCGCTACGCAATACGTCGATGTCGAACTCGCGAAACTCGAGGGGCGTGGGGCCTCTGAAAACATCCAGGGTCGAGTCGAAATGGTTCCACCAATACTCTGCACCCTCGGTGGCCCCAAAAACCTCAAGGTCCTTCTGTATTTGCCTAGCCCACGGTGCCGACGACGCTCCCGCCCACCCGTTCTCCAACCTCTCTATGCCCAGGGTAAGGTCGAGCCTGCTGTTCCCAAAAACTGCGGCCAAACACTGGGCCCCGTTTACTGGAGAGGCCGCCAGTGACTGGTACCATTTAAGCCTACGTACACGTAACTCCTGGGCGCTCGGTAGTATACCCCAAAGGGCCAGGACCTGCAGGGTGTCCAGGGTGCGGATGTGCTCGGGGGCCTCATACGCTACCCCACCACTCATGCTCCTACACGGCTTCGCCATGGTCCTATCGAGGAGGTTATAATGCCTGGGCTCCAATGCAAAGGCCTCCAGTGCCGACAGGCAGCTGTTCTGAGCATATGCTAGAAAGAGACATCTCTTGACCCGAGACGGAATCTTTTTGTGCCAAACTTTCCCCAGGCGATGCCATCCTGTATGTGCAGCGCGGACGCGCAGCTCGACCTCGGCGCTGACGGAGCCGTCTGCGCTCAAATTTGGGCCCAGCACGCGCGTGGGCTGGGTGGGACTTGCCAGCAGGCTAGTAGAAGAAGACAGAGCCCGCTGTGCTGCAGCAGCTCCCTCTCCCCACATCTGTGCGAGCGTATTCTCCTTAGCCGAATTCAAAGAATGTCCGCTCCCACTGATATGTCGAGCGAGCTGCTGGCCTCGCAAGGCCACTCTCTCCTCGCAGCGGGTAGCCGAAGGCCTCCGTGGGGGCGCGTGCACTTTTGTCGCGTCGTCCACGAAGGTCGCCACTGATGCGTCGCACGGCCTCTGAGTCACAGGGCGCGCCGTCGGGTTCCACTTCTCCTCGGGTGACTCTTTTCATATTTCTTCGAGCCAGCTCTTCACTCCTGGATTGTAGCACGCGACGAAGTCGCGAGGCCCGAATGTGTAGCCCATGCAGGTGCCGATCTGCGGCCGGAAAGACAGTCCCTCGCCGACGTTGGTGTGCAGCGTGGTCTCGTTAAAGACGCGGCGATGCCATCTTCGGTCTGACTCATTATCATGTTGGCAGCCTCGTGCATGTAAACAATATCTGGTGGTGCAGCCGAAGGCGTTGACTCCGTCGTGGTTTGACGTTGCCGTCGAGATGCCACTCTCATTCATCTTCCACCTCGTGCACTCAATCGTAGCAATTGCCGCCTCTCGACGTCGATGTGGTAGCCCCCCTGCGCCCACTCTGGTATGTCCAGCGCCCTCTCCGTCCTGCGCCTCATCGCGCCAGCACTCAAACCCATGGAGGTGCTGTCGAAGACGTGCAAGATCCGCTGCCCAGCAATCCCCTCCTTCGCATTCTGCTTGTCCGCCGCGTAGGCGTTGGGCCGCAGGAAGGCCAGGGGCAGTGCATCTCGTAGGCGTACGTGTACTAGACAATCTTGAAGTGCCTGTTCGAAAGCCTCCGGTGTCGCTGGCTCTAGGTCAGCCCCCGCACCTCCACCTCTTGGTGTGCCGCGACGGTGGGGGTGCAGGCATATCGTCCAAAATTCAACGGGCAGCCCCCATGGCGGAAAGGCTACTCTCGTCGGGGCCTTCGTGGAGTATTTCCCAAGCTGGGCTCGATCTCGATTGGCTCTTCGGAGGGCTTCGTCATGTGGTATCATCGGCTCTAGGTTGATCTGACGTCGTCGTTCTCGCGCGTGGTCCTGCCAATTCTCGATGGCCACGCAGCCCAGGCCTCCCTCGGTCGGTGACTTTACAAGGCCTGTCTTCGACTCATCCTCATGCATCGTGGCGCGGGCACTGCAATAATTTCTCTTCTTTGGGACATGTCCGTTTCCCGAAAGTAATGCTCTTAATCTGTGAACCTCTGATAGGTCGCGTTGTCGCCAAGCCTCGCATATGTCCTCCGATATCTCCCGTTCTCGCGCTTCGTTTTGTTGCCGTCGTAGCCGTCGCAGTATGCCACCTATGTCCTTCAGCTCGTCCTTTATCTCCTCTAAGCGCTCGTGATGCTCGTCTGGTTCCAATTCTGCCTTCAGGGTGAGTCGTTCTCTCAGTAACTGCATTTCTGGTCGCGCAACTTGAGGTACTCGTGGTCGCGCTTGTCCTTAGGCGGGAAGGTTTCCATCAGCACGCCCTGCGTTGCTTGCTGCAGGCAGTTCCACTCTCCGTCCACA